ATTAGATAGCACTGATGAGCGAGAACAAGCCTCTTTGAGCAGTTCTGAGTTTGACTCTGGCCTCGCTTAGGAAATGCCCTTCCTGGTGCTGCGGATTATCAAGAACCTTTCAAAAAAGTGAGACTCGTCTCTAGAGTCCGTCCAGTCTCCGGCCAAAATTAACTGTATGAAGGAACCTGGACTAAGGCAGTCAGCAGCAGTTGACCTCTTTTTTCCCTCTGTGCGCATCCCAAATCACCGTGTGAACCCAGCAAGCAGAACAACCTCTCCAGTGCTGCACAGAAAAGGGTTGTAGGAAGGTCCTCCCAGCCGTGTGAGGTATAACAAGTCAGTACAGGACAGAGCTGTGCTGTGCAGATGTGAGAACAGAAAACTAAAGCCAAAACGTTACGAAAATAGACCATTAGTAGCCACTTAAGTTCTGTCTAGCACATACTGGGACTGCTGGTAAATACTCGTGGGCAGTGTCGACTGTGATATTTTTCACTGAAACCTGGAGGTAACAGAAAGACTTTAGTCCTTGCAAAATGAAAGTCAGAAGTGCAGAAGAGATTGAATTCCTGCAGTGGTGAAAAAATCTATGTCTGTAAAAGCCACAATGATTTACTAGTAGTAAAAAAATTACCAATAACCAGAGCAAAGTCAGGAAAAGAAAAATCTCAAGTCAAATGTGCAGATTTCCAGATAGAGTGAAAAATGTAGAAGCTGGTGCTTCCAGTAGGTGACTGGATCTGAGAGCAGTAGAGATCACCTGGTCTCCAGCAGCAGTGATCTCCTCAGAGTGGTTCTTGAAGAAGGTGATGGCTGCAATGGCACCCAAAGGACACGTTCCCAAGGTGCCTCAAAGAAAACGCTGTCTTTCCGAGTTTTCTGTCGGTCAAGAAGTTTGTGGGATGGAAGCAGCACCCTGCAGAGCCCAGCGCAGGGCAGCCGGCAGGACTGTGCGCGGTGCGGCAGGCTGGCAGCCGTGGCAAAGCGAGAGGCACTCGCAGCTCGCGGCTCCCGCTGAGCCAGGAACGTGGTGGGAGCCCGGACGGCTCCCGCGCACAGGGGCAGGACGGCACCCACCAGCAGCGCCTCCTCCTCCTGCCGACTTGCTGTGGGCACATTTAACCTGCAATTTGGAAACGGGAAACAGAGCCTGGCACGCGGTCAGGGAAGGCTGCCAAGCCCTGCTCTAGCTGCTGCGCAGCCCGCTAGAATGGGAAAGATAAGTATCTTACAGACCAGTATCAACAGCAACCAACAGCAGATTTTTATCTTTTTAATACGTACAAAAGCACAAAGAAAATAATTACTTATTTTATAAAAGCACAAAGAAAACACTTATTTATTTCCAGTTTTGTAACAGTAAGTATGGCCTTAAGGTCAGGAATTTTGAAGAGTTGATGACTGCCTGGCTGCTTCTTTGGTCCCTAGTTTCTCCAGCCAGTCATTAACAGTGAGGAAAGCGCCTTTTCTAGAGGCCMCTTTTGTTTAATCATTACCTTTTCATGTTACAGAATATACCAGCTACCTCTGGGAAATAAGTGTCTCCTATGCCAATGGATCCATAACGTGGTTTTTTTTAGGTTTCATTTATTTGAAAGAATATTCTGTTAGGATGTGAGAGTTTAATGTAAAAGATGATTGAGTATTAACCTCAGCCCCGCTACAAGCTAGATCACTCTCAGGAATTGGGACAAAATAGCCTTGCAGTGCTGCCTTTCCTCTTGTGGGGATGGTTTTGGGCCGTCGATTTCAGAAGAGTAATCTTGAGAATTTATCTGTGTAATCTAGGTCCTAATACTATCCTCTTGGTGTTGGAGCATTTCAGAAATTAAATGTGGACACAAATATTTTCTCCCTTATCTTCTAAAATCGTTTAGGAATGGACCTTGTTTTTCGGGGGCTTGAATTTTATGTGTAATCATTGTGATGCTGAGGGCAAAGAGCACCAGTGGTTTCTATGGGCGTTAAAAATTATTTATGAAACTAAAATTGGAATGGTTCTCAGGAATCCCTGCCCCGCTCTGTTTGTCGACCTGACGATTGCCGTCTGCCAAAAATCCTCTCCGTTTCGAAACGCTTAGAAACTATATGTGACTTTTGGACTTTTTCAGAGGAAGATTCATTTATACCTGAAAATAACTTTACTTTGTACTTAATATAAGATAAAAATGAAGTACTGTGGTTCAATTTGATGCGTTTTCTGATGAGGGACAATCTACTGATTGTATTCTTGGTAAAAATTAACTAGATTATTAGATTATTGCATACATACATAAACCTTTGAACAGTACCCAGTTCTTGTGCATTATGACTTGAGTTATTCTCAAAACTTTATGGCTGTAGATGCTAGTGATAAAATGCAGCGAGTCACCTAATGTGTCTTGGATCACTTCTCTTTGCTGTTGAGAAAACTGTGGATATATCTTTCTTTGAGAGTTTATTTGAGCTTTGAAACAATTGTTTACAAAATGTATTGCTTGGCAGATAAATTCACAAGAAAGCAACAAAGCTTTCTAAGCYGTATGTTTAAAGTGTATGGATTCCCAATAGCAGTGCAGTGTGTGGCTGTCATTGTCAGGTAGCAGCAAAGCCTCTTCCCTTGAGCGGTGAAAGGAAATGGGAGTTTCTCCAACGGTAGGTTAAAAACCATGATTGTGTTCTTGATGATTTCAAATTAAATACTGAAGCAACATGACTGATATGGCTGATTTTAATGTTTTGCTGTGAAAGTCTGTATTGTCATAACCATTACTTGTAATATTGGCTTTTCATTTTGAATCTTTAAGTGAAAACACAGAATGCACGTCAAAACAACGGACATCATCTTTTGCTTCAACACTTTCTTTTTCAAGAAAATAACAACAGAAAAATATAGGTAGTGTTCCAGGAAACAGCCACTCAGAGGTGCAGGATGGGCTGGAACCTTATTGTGGTTTCCTGGTTCCTGGAGTGACGCTTTTACTTTTTAAGCTGTGGCTTTACTTGTGTTTTGAAAGCATGACAGGTTGGTTTTCAGCAGGGTTGTGTTTGTTGTTTCTGAAAGGCTGGGTTTGATACGGGATTTACATCTGGTGAGGAYTCAGTAATTGCTTTACCAAAGAGTTTGCAGCATGCACCTTTAAAGGAACTTTACATCTTTAAGCCTCRAGCTAACATTGTATTCCCTGGATTAAAACTGGGGCAGTAGAAATGCTGAAGGTCCAAATGAAGGAAATGCCGATATTGTGCTTAAATGGATCTTTTCCTCTGCTTCACYCTAACCAATGCGGGCTACATATGGATTTTAAAGCCAGAAGTTAACAGTGTTCCTTGTAGGCAGGTCAGAAGTTGATATTTCTTCCTTAGCACTGTAATGTCTCCCGGCTCGATGTGCGTGCTAGGGACCAAGTGTAAACACGCCGCCTATCACCCCGACCATTAATCTGTTCCCAGAAACGCCTRGCACCGGGGAATCGTGAAATAGTCTTTGCGAAGGATTCGAGATCCATTTTCACTGCCGATTAAAAAAAGGTCTCCTTGGAGCAGCCTTTGCTATAATTGAACCTTGAAATGTAAAATGTTGCAAATAAGTTTTAAGTGTTACTTTTCTAAAGGTTTTTTTTTTCCCCCCCCAAAAAAACACAATCAGAGGATGGTAATTGCCTTTTTAGGAGTATTCCTTTTGTTTTTCTTTCATTGTGGTCTTTCATTTTCTTTCAAGGTGACCTTGGWACGTAAAGAGACTTTCCGGCTCCACCTTATTGGTGCCTTCTTCGTTTCTCTTCATTTCTCCCGTTACTTCCAGTCTCTCCATTTTCTCCCTGCTCCTTTCCCTTGAGAGCAGTCCTGGGTGATTCCCATAGACTTTACCTGCCAAGGAAACACAACGTGGGCAGGGTTGAGCGCACGGAATCATTCGCCAGCCGCTGCCCTCCGTGGGGCAAGACCGAGTAACGGTTTGTGTAATTCCGACAGAGCCTGCGGAGTATCCCAGCTCCCTGTCCGTCCTGCAGCTCCTCTGCAGTAACACGATCGCGACACGCACGATCACCGCAGCAGCAGCTGCTGTGGGAACAGCACGACCACCTTTGCTGGAATCGCGTTTCCCTTGTCGCCCTCGCCTTGCAGCAGGGCTGAATCTGCCTGTAATTACACCCCGGCCCGGCAATACTTTATTGTTAGCATCAAGTACAGGCATTTAAACACCAAAGCGTACAGCAAAGTGCTGGCAAAGCCCCATAATAGTGAAAATAATAAAGTTCCTGTTATTGCAGGGGGAGTTTACAGCCTGTTGCTGAAGCACCCGCCTCGGCGTGCAGAGCTACAGCCCGACTTCATGCACGGGATTCACTTTGCGTCTCCTTCCCTGGAGCGCCAGAGCCCGGAGCTGGCACCAGGGGCAAGTTCCTGGCGCTCCGGGTCTTTCCGGCGCCCGCTCCGCATGCCGGGGGTCGCGGGTGCCTCACCCGTGTGCACCCGGGGGCTCCCGGTGGGGACTGGGACGCGGGTGGCACTGGGATGGGCGCCACAGCAGGGAAAAGGCTGTTTTCCCAAGGGACAATAAGGAAGGGAGTAACCAAAGGCTGGCGGACCCGAAACTGGAGGGACCCGAAACTGGAGTGACCCCGAACTGGAGCGACCCCGAACCSGAGCGAGCCAAGAGCTCGGGTCAAACCCGGCCCCGGTCCACGGGCCCCTCGGCCGGGCCGAGGGCGCCGCCGCTCCCGGGCCCCGTGGGCGCGGCGGGGCCGCCAT